GGCTACAAAGTGGAGTCACAGGCAGAGCCAACTCTCCCCCAAAGTCTGACCTCACAGTATAGTGTCTCAGAGGCTTTCAGTCCGAGCCCCTGCATATAGGTAGAACAGAATGGCCCTACACATGGTTTAACAAGACACTAACACTATCATTGCCTGAGGGCTTTCTTTGTGCCTGGCACTTCACATTCATTATCTCATTTACTCATCATAACCTTATGAACTACAGGAAAATCTTAATTTTATAGTTGAGCAGTCTGAGGCCCAGAGAAGTTAAGAAATTTGTCCAAGGTCACACAGCTCCTCAGTGGTAGAACTAGCGTACAAACACAGGTAGTCGAACTACAGAACCTGACCAGTTAACCTCTGAGTCCTTCGTGTCAGAGAAGATCTTAGATCTTTTATATGTCCTCTCCTGGTTTACAGGATGTTCCCAGGATATCTGCACGCAAACCTGGCCTAAGGCCCCCACACCCCACCTTAGAGCCACCCTCAGGAGGGAGCATGGCTGATGGCTTTTCCCTGGAGTCTGACCTCTGGAGCCTGGAAGAAACTTAAGTTTCTCATTCCCAGGGCCAGGTGTGCCTCTGATTCCTCTAGTATCCTCTAGTTAAATTCCACTCTAATGAGGGCCACAGAAGGAAGGGGGACACAAAGTGAGGCTGTGAGCTCCTGACCTTTCTCCTTCCCCTGCTCTCCAGTTAGTTTGAGCCTTACATTTGGGGTGGAATCAGATTTTCCACCCTGGCCCCTTACTCTCTCTCCGCAGCTCATTAAGTGCTTTTATTGGCCCTAGAAAACTTTCTGCTTCCTTTAGCAAATGTGTCCAGAATCTTTCATGAAGTCACATTATTTTCCTTTTTGGCCGACTTTCCCTTTTGCACCACAGTCAGGGAGGAGGTCAGTTGAGGTGAGGCAAGTTTTAGGCATGACCTTAGACGTGGATGAAAGGGATCACTCTAAACAACATTGCTGTTAACTTGTTTGGCATTTGGGTCCCATTAGGGACATGAGCAAATGGAGGAAGTGTTCTGCACAAGAATTATGCTGTCCCAGTTCACAGTAGGAGGAACAGGGTATTTAGGGACAGTGCTGTGCCCAGCTGAGGGTGACAAGCCCCTCCTGCCTCCAGCTCTACACACCTGCACCAATGTGTGCCATGAAAGGCTAAGTGTTCTCGTGGCTTCCTATCTCTGCATCTTTGGAGGGGGGTAGCCGTAGAGGGGTCACAACCTTCCCCCCCACACGTAAAACTCCCACGCTCTTAGCATCACCCTTTTCCCCACCCTCGGAGTGGGTCCTGTCCTGGTTTCTGTTTCACGGTATTCGTCCTCCTCTGGCTTCCTCATGAGCTCCGCCAGCTGCCCCCCTTCCCCGGCCTCATCTCCCTACGCCAGGGGTCGGGAGCCGTGAAAGTCACTGAGTGACGCCAGCCGGCTGTTGGGGGGGTGCATAGGGCATGTGGCCTCCTGGGGGGTCGGACTCCCCATCAAAGCGGCAGCCACCACCCAACTCCAGTGCAGACCCAGGGTTCCAGAATATCCCATTTTCCAAGAGAAGTTGGAAAACCTGACTTTTATGTGATGTGACATTTCCTAGCTTTTAAATGTCTGATAAGTAATTGAAATTATTTTAAAGCATACTGTGTGGACTACATAAAATATGTCTGAGGCCTGGGGCTGGTCTCAGTTCTAGTCTCTCTCTCCCTCTCCCTTTTTATTTCTCTCTCTCTCCCCCTCCTTCACACCCCCACAGTGTAGCCTGCCCTCCCAGCTGCAGCTCTCACCTGTGTCAATGTCTGTGAGTAGGACCTCTCCCATGGCCTGCACCCCGGATTTATACAGCCATCATCTCCACGTGGGCGCCCACACACCTCGAATGCAAGGCTGACCTCGTCCGCCACCCAGATTTGGTAGACCATAATACTGTCAGGAGTAATAGTGGTTTTTGCCTTTATTCCCTTGACAAAAATACTACTACTACTAATACTGCTATTAATGCTAATACTGCAAATAATAATCGCTTGCTCCTCTTTTGTCCCGTTTCTGTTACTCAGCACCACTGCTCCGTCAGCCAGCCGGGGAGGACCCTGCGATCTTGGACTCTCCCCTTCACCTGCTCCATGAAGTTGGCAGATTGTGTTTATTCTCATTCTTCTTCCACAGCCCCCTAGGACTTGCTTCCAACTCTTCCTTCCCCTTAACTAGAAACTCCCCTAGTTTCTGAACTTGTATCTTCTCGGCTATCGTCTTAGCCTCATAACTGTTTACCCTACCACCAACCCTTACCTCTCCGTGTGGGATTTATTCCTCACACTGTGGCTGAATCACAGGGCGGCCCTTGCCACTCACCTCTTCATGCACCTCTGACGGATCCTTCTGGCTGCCCTGTAGTTCCGCAGCCGACCCCGCATGCCAGCTGTGCCAGGCAATACGCTCCTCTTCCAACGCACCGGGCGCTTGTGTGCCTCTGAACGTGCTGGCTGTGTCCTCAGACACGACTGTCTTCTTCCTTCATGCCTACATTAACTTTATTCATCCTTCTCCCATCCAGTGCCACCTCTTCCGTGAGGCTGTCACTTGCCTTCTCAGCACCAGCCCCGGTGCTGTTTGGCTGGTCCCTCTTCTGAGCTCATTTCGTCCAGCTGTGTCTCACAAAGTTTGCGTGCCTCTTCCCCCTTCTCCTGATTAGCTCCTGGCTGGCGAGGCACTCTCTTTGTCATCTGCATATTCCCGGGAAGCCTAGGGCACTGCCTTACATCCAGTAGACACCCTGTGAACTTTTGTGAGTTGAAACTGAAGTTTAAGTAGAGGATGGATGCATCTGAAGGGCTCCAGCCAAGATACTAAAAATCGAAACAAAATCACTTGGTTATTCAAAAGGATTTATCAGAACCTCAAGAGAAAGTGTCAAGCTAGGGGAAGGGTTATTCTGCCTGCCCCCAGTTTCAGGGATGCAGTTTTTAGAGGAGGAACTGTTGTGATTTCGTCATCTTGTCCTCAGGCAAGGCCTTTTCCACAGTGCCCCACGGAAGCTGGGGCAGGGAAGAATGGGCAAAGTCTCTGGGACACTGGGGCATCTGCCACCCTGGCATGTAGAGTCCTGCACTGTTCCTCTTGCCCAAAAGAACAAGCTGTACCCACACATTCACACGATGTCCTCTGCTCGCATCATTGGCAGGCCTGGGAATTTCCCACAAGCCATCTGGGCTTGCTCTACCAATCTTGTCTCCTACTCAGGAGCATTTTGCAGCATTGTTTTTTGTTAATTAGCTCTCAGAATAGGAACTGCTTTTCCATCAGGAATTGTATCCCATTGACTTTCCTAAGGAGAGAATCTACTCATTTCTTTTTGTAAGTATTTTGCCCTTCCTTCCTGAGTTGTATCGCTTTATCCAGGGAGAGCCCAATAGTGTGAACTTGTAGCTCTTGCAGAACTGAGTTATCTGTAAGCTACACATTTCCTAAATCCACGTTGACCACTGTCAGTGCCTCAGTTGGTAACTGCTCTGATTGGAGCTGTGTAGCTCTGAATGCTGCTTTTACTCTTGGGTCCCTCCTCCAACCCAGCACCACCTGTGGCCTTTAATCCTTGTCACTAGGACAGAGGAGAAGCCATTAAACCCTGTCAGTGTCTTCATTTTTTATTAGCTCCCTTTTGAAGCTTTTTTAAAAAGCATTATACAAGGTGTATCCTGTCAGATTGCTTAGGAACTTCTGCAGCCTCCTCCTTCAACACGATCATTTTCATTTGAACCAACACTGGAGGCTTTACAGCTTTGGACATCCGGCATGGCAGAGTGGCCACCTCCAAACACTGCCTTTTCGTGCCTGCACCTTCCACAAGATTTTCTCTTCATTTGCTCTGTAAACTGAGCTCCAAAGCCATTTCTATAAGCACCACATTGCTTTTGTCTCATGTTCACAAATCAAACTTGGAAAGGGATGCTTGGGGGCTGTCCTAAGTTGTCATAGGTCTATTTAAAGATGACTTGATTTAAATAAAAACAAAACCAAAACTTTTGCATCCAAGGCAATTTTCTTTTGAAATGGGAAATTAGCTTGAATGTCTTTGAAATTGAGAACCACATTCTGGCCATGAAAAGTGGATTATCCTGTACTTGTCCTTGTTTAAGAAGTGGTCAAAACACCTTTACTGGCTATTTTGTGAAAGTAGATTTAGCCCAAAACATTTTGATAGGAGCTCAGCACCAAGGAAATCTACCAACTGATATAAATACAGAGTGTTTATATACACACGTTGCTTAAATGTGTGTCAATGCTCCTTTTAGGTTTTGGTCTATGTAGCAATGGAATCTCAGTCATTAAACCTATTTCAAAACAGTGGTGGTGGGGGGGCACGTCTTGAAGAAAAGACTTTCCTTCTAGAACTATGATATCTTTGCTGTTTAAAGAAAAGTAGCCAACTTTGGTTTTTCTAGATCGGGAACACAGAACTTTTTAGTTTTTCACCCTTGCTGCTTCTTTACACAGATCTTCAAAAATAATGACTCTCTTTTCTCTCTGTGGTCTTGTCAGAGTGGGAGTCCTGGCCGGTGGGTCAGGTCTCTAAGAAAAATGGCACAGCTGTTTATGAAAGTAGCCCCATTCATAAGATGCCTGCTGTCTACAACTGCAGTGTTGGAGAAAGACACACTATTTCACAAAGAGCTGCTTTTCTTTAAAGAGGAAAGAAAAATACATGGTATTTACAGAAAAGAAAACTGGACCCTTCTGCTTTCTTTTAGTGGCCATGTCTGAAATGGAAGTGGGGAAGGCCATAAATCTACACAAGCAATTGCGCCTTTAAGGCATGATTCATACTGACTGTGTTGCCTGTGATGGAAAACCCAGCTAGTTAAGCAAGATCAGCCAGAAAGCCTCACGCAGCTCCTCTGCCAGACCTGCTGCCTGCCGTCTTGTGACATGCTTGCTGTGTATGTGTGTAGGAATGAATGATTGACTCTCTCTCTCTCCCCGCCCCCATCCTCCCATTTCTCTCAGTTCATGACCAAGAACCCCACCATGCGATTGGGCAGCCTGACCCAGGGAGGTGAACACGCTATCTTGAGACATCCTTTCTTTAAGGAAATCGACTGGGCCCAGCTGAACCACCGCCAACTAGAGCCACCTTTCAGACCCAGAATCGTAAGTGTCCAAGGCCATTATAGTAGACTTTCCTCTTTCTTCAGATGTCACAGTGTTCCACCTAAGTCCACCAGACAGCCAGATGGCCCCTGTGGAGTGACAGACTTGAAGTTCAGCCCGACACTGTACAGGGTGGCCTCACCTGGCGGGGGAGGCTGAGCTCCTTGCCCCTGAGACAGCATCTCTCCATGTGTCCCAGTTACTTCTGCCAAAGTTTTCACCTCTCACTTGCCCTGGCTCCATCCTCCCTTAACCTAAATTCAAATCTCATAGGGTCTGAGAGGCCTGAAACTTTTCAGGTTTCCCCAAAAGAATTTGGCTAATTGAGACTGTCATTGTTCCCAGCCAATTTCCTCATGCTCCTCAAGCAGGGCACCTTTTGTGACTTTCCTAAGCCCCCAAGAAAGCAGAGAGAACGTCACTCAGCCTGGCTCCTTAGCTTGGGGAGCCTGGGTCTGTCTAGCTGCTTGGGTACAGAGCTCAGGCCAGGCTCCCTTTGACTAGATAAGTTCAGCGAGCACCAAGGGCTCCTGTCCATGCTGTGCAGCTGAGTGGGGTGGCGGCATTCCCGAGGGTGGTCCAGCTCATAGTCTGAAAGCAGAGCTCTCACTCATCTGTGGATCTGGAACTCCACAGTGGAAAGGCAGAGAAGCCAGGCTTGCAAAAGATCCAGAGTTGTGGGGAAGAGAGGTGGTCCAGAGGCGGAGAGAGAAATATCATTGAGTCAGGTAAGAGAAGTGAGAGATCTAACGCTGGTAGAAATGATCTTGCCAGCATTCATTTATAAAGGTATAAAATACACAACTTCTTCAGACCTACAGCAAGCTTAGTCAGTAACAGTCTGCTGGGCTTCTGGACACCAGGCACCCAGAGGTAAAGCCATTTTCTTCAGTGGGCATCCCCCTGCCAGCTCCCCTGGATTAGGGACAGCATTGCCTTCAGAGGCTGGAGCCTATAGTCCCAACGCACAGCTGGTCCCCCAGAGCGTAATGCACTGAGTGAGTAAATTGACAGGCAGTTGTTCATGAGCTCAGCATTTCCAAAAAGTCTTTCAGGAACATCTCTTCAAGCATATGGAACTGTGTACAAACAGGTGGGACAAGTGTGAACTTCCACAGCCTCTGTTGACAAATATGACCTGTGCATCTCTTGGCGAGCCCTGTTGGAAGTGCTGCCTCGGTGAAGGGAGAACAAAGGGTGAGCGAGCCGGCTGGTTTGGTGGCCAAATTAATTCCTTAGCCTCCCAGCGAGGCTGGCCTGCTCAGCGAGATTTTCATGGGATTAGTGAATTGGTGGTTGCCAAGTGCCATAATAATACACAATGCAGTCGAATTGCTGTAAAGCACTGTTTAATCATAATGACCATAACTGTAAATAATGCTACTGAACGAGCTACAGAGCGGTTCTCTGAGTTCATTGGAATGGGCTAAGTCCCATGCCAGATGAGTAAGCCAGTGCATAAAATCTGACCCTCGTTTCCTTTTTTGGCAGAAATCCCGAGAAGATGTCAGTAATTTTGACCCCGACTTCATAAAGGAAGAGCCAGTTTTAACTCCAATTGATGAGGGACATCTTCCTATGATTAACCAGGATGAGTTTAGAAACTTTTCCTATATGTCTCCAGAATTGCAACCATAGCCTCATGGGGAATGAGAGACATGGTAGGAGACTCAAAAGGGAATAGAGATTTTTCCAGGAATTTCCTTCGTGGGAACTCCCCAGCATCAGCCTTAGAACAAGAGCCTTACTTCCAAGGAGCAAGTGGAGAACTCTGTGAAGGATGGAACTTCAGAAGATCAACTATTTCAAAGGGATCCATGACATTGGAAATAGTTGATACTGAAATGACATTTTATGAGGAATTGTACTGTTCCACCGATGTGTTTCTGTGGCTGTGTCAGGCTTGGGATATTAACAGGAGCCAAAACGAGCGAAGGCATGAAGAATAAACTAGATTCGAGAAATTCTGAGCCAAACAGGCTTTTTACTTCGAGAGACCGATCAAGACTTTCTATGAAACGTGCTGCGCTCTTCTTTAAGCCAATGAACCCCTAATACCGGCCATCTGTAAGAAGCCTCTAAATGCCAATGAAGAATTTAAAGGTCTATTAAAGGAAATAAGTGGCTTTCCAAATAGAAGATTTATGCTGAAGAAACAAAAAAATGGTATTCCTAAAACTCACAACTTAAAGCCCAACCTTGAAAACAGACGTTGGGCACCAAGACAACTGCCACAGCTTATTCTGTTATCCTTACTTTCTTTAATAGATATTTATTGGGTTTCCAGGAAAAGGGGCCACGATACCCAGTATTGTAGACAATGGATTTACATTCATGAAGCTTTCATTCATTCTGGAGTCTACTAATTGACCTGAATAGTGTTTGCATTCTGTGAAATGCCTCTCCACATTGCATATGTCACATTTCTTTGTCTGCACATAGCTCTTTTTTCATAGAAAGGTCACTGCCACAACAGCACAATCAGCAGGTGAGCTGCAGGTGCTTGCTGCCTACCGACCCGGGGAATCTTTTCATGTCGCTATCACTCTGGGCTCATCAGTGAAGAATTGCAGGCCACGCGTGTCAGGGACCACATTTATGGCTTACACATTAGCAGTTTATTTATGTTTTAAGAGACAAAGATGTTTGATACACACTTTAATAATGAGAAATGGATCTTGTAAACAGGATATATATCAAAGGCAGACCTTGTATGTACTCGTAAATGCAGTTGGAGAATCTTGTCTGGGTGGAAATAAACACATTTTGTAGCAAAAGGAAATTTTTTGTCTAGAAGGATTTGTTCCCTCCCCACTTGAGAGTAGATTTCCAATCAAAGTAAAAGCTTTGAGCAGAATGGACAGAAACCCTTGGCCTAAAGCAAATTCCTGATTGGAGAGGTTCACATAAGCCTCTATGATTCTCTGAAGTGGACGTGGCCTCTTACTAACCAAAGCTTCTGTTCTGAATCAGGGTAGGGACTGCTAAGCATAGCCATGACAGATCAACCCTTGAAATCTCAGTGTTTGTTTCTCATTCAGATAATGTAGAGTATGAATGCAACAGTCCTCCTCCATCTTCTAACTATGCCATCTGGAAAATGTAGCCTCCTAAGGTTTCCGGAACAAAGGAAGAGCGAGATGGGGGAGGTGCTTACTGCATGACTACCTCTCCTGAGAGAGACACGAATCACTTCTCACATTGACCAAAATGTGGCTTTCCTCTAACTACAGATGAGACAAGGGAATTGCAGAGCAGCTGAGGAGAATCTGGCTACTACTGACAATCTCTTCTCTGTCCTAGGTTCTTTCTTTGCATTCCAAGGTAAAAAAATTACTTTTGAATGAATAGAGAAACTGGGAGCTTCCCTTTAAGTGCATGTAGCACTTAGCAGTTCATGGGCACTCTCGCCTACATAATTTCACTCCGTGACATCCTTGCGAGATAGGCAGGTCATTCCCCCACTATTTCCACTATTGACAGTGTGAATACTGAGGTATATTTTACAAATGAGAAGAAAAGAGAGGCTTAGAGAAGTTGAGTTGGTTGATTTAGCCATACGTTTCAAACTTGGTCAGGAGTGCATCCAGGTCTACAGTCTAAATCTTTGATGTTCTAATCCAACAGCCTTCTGGGAAAGGGAGGGATCATTTTGACTTTGGGACTTTCTTGGCTTTCATAGCTACTGTGCAGCCCCAGCTTCTATTGCTCTGTGGGGTTGATTAGCTTCTTGGTATGGTTTACTCATGGTAAAGGACCATGAAAAATAAAGCATTCCTCCTGTTTTGTTAACAAAATTCATCAGCCATGCAAAGGGTCCAAAACATTCTCTGTGATGAATCTGTGGAATGAACCACTTAGCAGCTTCCCTTCCTCTTCACAATCTTTTCTTAAGCCCACTACCTGAGTCCCCAGTCTGGGTTAAGTCCATTCTTTTGAGATCATTCCAGACCTGTCAGACAGATTATTATCCAACAGCTAATGACTCTGCTACAGTAGGATTTCTGGAACTTCCTCATCCCGCCTTCTTATGTGAGGAGAGAGAGGATGTCCCAGATACTTACCTAAAACTCCCAAGAGTCTCCAATTCCTGGTTAGACTTCTACTTCACATCTTTCTTCAGTTCTTCTAGACCTTGCATCCCCTTCCAAGAGATCACAAGGCTACCTTGCCCAGGCTTCCTGGAGTGGGCAACAGGCCACTTAGTCATCAGGGGCTGAGTCTGCTGGGGCTGCCAGGTTCCCTGAACTCAGTGGGCAGCATGAAGGTCACACCAGGACCCTCTACATCCTCAGGATCATCTTGCCTCTCGGGTGAGGAGTCTGGAGCCATCCTCCGGCCTTTCATCCCCATCCTCCCACTCTCCGTCCCAGCCAGTCCTCACCCCACACCTATGGGTCCCCACCCTCCCAGCTATCCCACATGGACCTAATTAAATTAGACTCATGGGCTTGTGTATTTGAAAAGAGAGTAACTTCAAGCATTTGCTTTGAGATGTGGATCAGCCTTTGACTGCAAAAGATGTTTTCACTTAATGCTTAACATCTATCGCGTGTTTCTTATATGTGTGGCCTATTCCAAATACGTTAGATTTATATACTCATTGAATACCCCACAGGTACTCTCATCTTTGTACAGATGGGGAAAACTAAAGTACAAAGAGATTAAGTAACTTGTTCAAAGTCACACAGCTAAAGCCAGAGGGCCAGGATTTGGCTCGGGCAGTTTAACTCCAGGGTCCCTACTTTTAGCCCAATTCAGTAAGTTTCTTCTATTAAAGCCAATTCTATTTTTTCTACTTGCATGGGTTTTTGAGAACAATAAAAAAGGTGTAAATCGGGGTTGGCAGGAAGCCCAAGATGAACTACCAGCTGGGGAGGACAGCATTAGCTGTCCGCTCAGTAGAATCATTTACCAGCAGTGAGACTGTGTGGTTTGCACACCAAGGGCCTGGAGCACCTGACCCCAGTTCTTAAAGGAACTGGGGCAGGCCAGGGTGATGCAATTGGGACTTAGACCTCCCTGAGGAAGAAAAAGAGGAAACAGTCTGGGTCTCGCTGAATCCTGTGAACTCCATCTGAACCCCTAGGGTAACTTCTGAGTCTTGGTGGAGTTTCCAGTCCTTTCTCCCCTCATAGAGGAGCTTCTTCATGCTTCAGTAACTCCTCACCACCCTGCCTGCTGGCTCATGCAGCCTGGAGCCTACCTTGGCAGCTGCATGTTTACAGATACAGAGCTGATGGAACTTGATAGCAAAGACCAGACCAAAAATAAAAATATCCCATTTGTCAGGTTTTGATCTTAATTGGGTGCATGTTGCCTTGAAAATATTCCAGCCTCAGGTTTGGCCTTGAGCATTTCATGGGCCAACATCGTAAAGCTTTATGTCGTCTTTTTTCCTAGGCTTGGTCATCCTGGTTGCTTAATCTGGCAATGTTGACTTAAAATGACTAGACAGCCCATAGCGATTGCCCCTGGCTCAGGGTCACACTGGGTCCTGTAACTTCTCAATTTACGTCATCTGAAGATAAAGCTATGACACAACCGTAGATATTTGCATTGGGAATGAGCCCTATGGTCACATGTTCTCTGAACTGAGTTGCAGGCTGGACAGAGCAGGCCAGCACACAGCTGTAAACAGAAATTTACAGTCTCCCTTTGTTCCTGTGTTGAATTAGAACCAAGGCTAAGGGGCCACCCTCAGCTTCATCCTGTCCCCGCCCCACCCCCTTACCTCCACTCCCTGGTCACTTGTTCTTTCCCTCCTCCTGCTTCCTCTGTCTTCATTCCCCAATGAGCTAAGTTGGTTCTGTGCTCTCTCTCCCCCATCACTTGATTTTCAGAGCCAAAATGTTATGTAGCTAGTTTTCCAACTACTAAGATGACATAAAATTTTGATTTGCATATTTATTTTATAGGCTCTTTTAGAGCCCCACAATGGCACCCACCTTTTCCACATATTTCTGCATCTTCGGCATCACCCTGTGTCAGCTCTTGCTCTGGCACGGGCTGCCTAGGTGAGCAACCCCGCCCTACCCTGCCCACACGATCTGGGAGGTGACACGCGCATGGGTTAAGAGCACTGGCTCGAGGATAGGGCACACCTGTGTGCTGACTTCTCACTCACTGTGTGTTCTTGAGGAAAGGAGGTCATTTCCCCAAGTTCACCTTCCTCATTTGTGACATGGGAGTGAGAATAGCACCTGCCTGCCTTGTGTTAATACTATGGGGATTAACTGTGATAATATATGTCAAGCTTTTGCCACAGGGCTGGGACATAGAACTGCTCAATCGATGTTAGCTGCTATTATGGTCAGCCCTTCCACAGAAGATTAAGGGAAGGTTGCTTGTGATGTGCACCAGAAAATGGACAGAGTGGGACACCCAGGCTGCCCATCCCATTGGATACAGATGCTCCAAGTTGAAGGGATTTCACCTTTCTAACTGCTGCAGAGGAGGCTGCAGAGCCTTCTTGGGAGATCTTTTAAATACTTCTAGGAGGTTTTGAGTCCATCCTGCTCTGATTGGCATACAGGATCAATCTTAAGTTTGAAACTCTGCTGCTCACCCTAAAGTAGAGGCCAAAAATATTTGTGGTTTTCCTAAATGGCTTTTCTCTTCATCCTTTTAGAAATTCATATGTCCTGCCAGATCGAATATGAAGATACTTTTAATTTACTTCTGACCAAATAACACAGGGACCACATCCCAGCATCAGTGCCTGCTGGGCACCTTCTGGACACACAACTCACTGGTAAACCAGTTCAAAGGAGAAAGGACTCAAGGTGTTCAATAAGTCCTGCCATGCCTGAGAGTCTGAAGCCCATAATAGAACCAAGGGCCTTTCTTCCTGGATTAAGGTATCTAGGAAGAGAGTGTCTAGTAAAACAAGAGTCTCCATAGTCCTGTATATTCTTACTGGAAACTGGACCACAGTACCCCTGTCCCCATGCAATAGCCTTTCCAGATTACCCAGGGCTGCTTTCTCATGCCACCAAGGCAGTTTTTACCCCACAGAGGCATCATTCTTCTAAGGGCTTGGACCACAGCTAGAAGAATCTAAGCTAGACAAAGTGAAGACTGTGTAGGCATCAAGTGTGGTCAAATATTCAAGTAGGCTACAGAGGGTAAGACAGGAATCTTCTTTGGAGACATTTCAAATTAGAAACCAGGGATAGTTTAGTAGTCATTTGACCTGAAAGTGCCAGAAATAACCTAGATGACCTCTCGAATTCTTGCAGCCTTGTACTTACTCCCTTGGCTAAACTTGAGCAGAGGGATATGGTCAATGAGCTCCCATGGGTAGTTGCCAAGCCCACACACTCCCACATACACAAAACCTGTATCGCCCAAATTTCCTCCATGTCCATCTCTGTGCAACCTGCACGCCCTAGCACACCTACACATCCTCCCTGCGTGCTCTCTCAACCCCAAGTTTCCCCGTAGGCTCACACAGATTGCTTGTCCCTAAAGCCACATACTCGACAATATCTCATACCTGGTTGCCTTTCACATTTCTCATGCTTGCTCATACATGGAAAAAAAAAAGCTTTCTAAATTTAAAATCAGCACAAGGAGATCGTAAGAAATGTAAGCCCATTTCTAGCCACTCATCAGTACTTGTGGATGCAGGAGAAAGCAGGATTCCTCAACTCTGCTCTGTGTTTTTCTGAAAGAGAATGATTTTCAAGATGAAAAGGGTAAATACTCATTGATAAAATGAATTATATAGCCCAAGGTAGATAGATTTATATAGAGCATTCGGATGCATACAGG